GGCCGACAGGCCGACCATGGCGAAGTTGTAAACAATGAGGAAGACTTTGAGGTCGAAGGGTTCTCTGTGTTTCATCAGACGAGGGCCGGCCCAGACCACACAGAGGTACACCAGGAAGATGAGTGCCACGGACACGGGGGAGTAGACCAGCAGCCATGGGTCCGTCCTCTTGTCTGGAACATTACAGAGCTTTGAGTCAGGGACCATTCACAAATGAATGAAACGTATTACAGGACACACCTAGAATTACAAGTTTCAAGGGCTGCCTTGTAGTGCCCACACTTTTATCACTATTTTTCTGTATGACTCTGCACAGGAAACGTCAGGTTTTGTCTTGTTGAAGTTCAGGAGGTCACGTGTGTGTGTGTGTGTGTGTGTGTGTGTGTGTGTGTGTGTGTGAGAAGCATTGTGAATCTAAACCAAGTCACAATAAAACAAATTATACATTTGAGAAAAAGAAAGGTAGTTTTTTTTTTGTTGTCCGACGGTGAAAGTGAAAGCCCCCCCACACACCTCCACCTCCACCTGTTCCTCCCTCTCCTTCACCACTGTTACAAGATAATACATTTTTTTTTAAAGTGTCATGGTGGCTTCACATGTGACAAGCCACAAAGCAGTCATTGTTAAGACAACGCCGGGGAGCACATCTGCATCTCCAAACTCCCCACACACACACACACACAGACAGTATTGTTCTTTAGGAACTGTATAGGAATAATAACTAGTATCTTACCTCCGTTCTCCACTAAGATCTGGTGCACAGAGAGGACGGTTTGCCACACAGAAGCCATCTGGAAACATGAAGAAAGTTAAAAATGACCAAAAGAAGAAGAAAAAACTGAAATCTGAAGCATTTAAACATAAACAAACTACTCACTGTCGCAAACCTCGCAACCGTTGTTTTAGCGGTAAACGTCAGCGACCACTATCTGTCAAAGATAAGTAGCCTATGAGCAAAATTCACCTTGCGGCGCGCGCTGCACCCAAATCCAGATTTTCCGTGCTTCGTTGAATGAATGAAAGGCGATAGGAGCGACCGGCCACACCAGAAACAGATTGAGTTAATTAAACTTAGTAAACCGAAAACTACGGCACGCGGGTCGCTACAATGGCGAGTTGTCTCCCATCTGAGTAACTTTGAGAGACAGTGGAGAAAAAGTACTGAGAACTGATTTGAATCACTTCCTGTTTGTCTTCACTACTGCGTTTTTTTTCTTTTTTTTTCTAGTTTTACAGAATCAAGTGGTTGTTACACGTTGAGCGCAGCAGGGGGCGCAGTTTCCTGCACAACAAATGTGGCCGATTTTCAGTATTACATTACTTTTCATTTATTGCTTCTATTTTGTATTATTTCATGTAAGTAGTTATACCATCTATATATTTTATATTAAATAAATTCACCCTCTTGTCCATGAATGAAAGAAGAGAGAGACAGACAGATTAACGACTGAATTATGAGTATTATTAAAGACGACGCCACCCAGCAGTAAATAAAGTAATTCAAATTAGCCCCACCAGCAGCTGCAACATTAAATTGATGCATCAATAATTGTGATCCAGAAATGTCAAAATATATCATTCTGAAAGGAGTCATTCTGCCGAATAAGTATTTTTACTTTTGGTACTGAAGTATATTTTATTCTTTACTTTTACAGGACTTTTAATCGTAATGGTAACAAGTATGATTTGATTATGTCACAGGGTCAGTGGTGAAAGAAGTATTCAGAACTTTTACTTCCACCACTGGCCCTATGAAATACCAAGTTATTACCAAAAAAAAACCTTAAACAGATTAAAAAACAACTACATTAAATACTGGTTAGTCATTTTAATGTGGAAAATGTTATATTCTGATAAAAAATAGTTTCGTTCACTTTCTCCATAATAAACAAAGATAAAACATCTCAATTATCTGGCATGAAACCTGGTGATTTTCTTGTATTTGGGCTTTATTATCCAAAGTTACACTCTCTGGACTTTTTGTCCACTAACATGACATTGTTACCATGGTAATACGCATGACAATCATCTTACTGCTTGTAAAACGTCTAGACTAGTCACAATGTAGTGATTAAACCATTATATACAATGAGGTCACTACAAATCAAACTACACCGCTAATTCAATAAAAGTCCCTAAAGGCACATATAACTATTAAAATAATTTGTTTGTATTTTGTACTTAGTTACCAGAGATGGGACCATGGTACTACAATAATCTATGACAATATGGCACATGTACATGAGGAAACATGAAGGACTTTCAAACACACAATACCATCAAGATTCCCGTTTAACAGACTTGAAGAATGTTTTTAGGGAGCGCTGTCTGCTGTTTGCCGTTTGCTGTCTACTGTTTGCCGTCTACTGTTTGCCGTCTGTTGTTTGCCGTCTGCTGTTTGCCGTCTGCTGTTTGCTGTCTGCTGTTTGCTGTCTGCTGTTTGCTGTCTGCTGTCACATAGTTTGGTTATTTTCTGAGGTCTGTTGTTTCTAGTTATTCTTTGTGCCGGTGTGGTTCGGCCTTTTCCCACCCTAAGTGAGACAAGCAGAGACAAATGATGAAACGTGGAATCTGTTATTAATAAAGGCTTATAGAATAAGACAAAGTCTATATACATATAGTCACAAAGCTTCACAATCTGCAGGAGAGTTAACATACCGATCTCATTCAATCAAGGCTACACACGAGCTGATGTGGACACTCACTCACTTCTTTCCGAAACAAACTCAAAGACTACAACCGCCCGTCTTCTTAAAATAAAACTTACTTTAAGAAGATAATGAACTTTAACTGCAGCTTCAAACTGCAGAGTGAAATAAGGGGAAGGTAGATTTCTGTTGTAAAAACGTGCTTTCTGTCCTCTCCTGGTGCTGCAGGTTGGCCTCCTGCTAACCTCAGTTTCACATCATGTGCACATGCAGGTTCTTCAGTGTTAATATTTAAACTTCAAACGCTATAAAACTCCTGAGTGGAAATCAAATGTCCTCTCCCTCCTCTTCATGATTTGTTTCCTCTATTATCTCAAACTTTCAATCTATTTCAGACTGAAGTCTAGAAAACAATACATAATTGTGCCGGTTGTTTTAGCAGTGGGAAGTTTGCGTTTCCTTGTTTATTGCATTTTAAATGAACCTCCGGAGGAGGGTTTGAGTGAGTGATGAAATAACTGTTACATCACTGACCGTTGCTCTTTCAAACTGTAAGGGTGCCACAATGTTTCTGCGATCAGTCAGCCGATCTACTTCCTCAATATGCAGTTATTGCTCGACACAGCAGAGCTTGACCCAAAAAGCCTCATTTGAGAAATTGACAACGAGCTCTTAAACAATGCCATTGGTGTGTTTTTTTTTCTGTATACATTTATATTTTCCAGTATAGTCTGTGTTTCTAACGCGGGTTTCCTATCCTATATTTGCAGGGTGTTGACACAGTTTGATGCATGTGTTATAGCTTCACGTGTAGTGAGTGTGTGGTCGAGCAACAGAGAGGGAGAGTGAAGGCGGATGCACTGAGACAGGGGCAGATCAATAGACATGTTGACGTGGGTGGCAAGAGGCTGGCATGGAGACGTTAAGGTGTGGCAGCTGCCACCCCCCCCCCCCCCGCAGAGAGCAGTAGAGTGTTTATCGGAGCAGAGGGGACATCGGCTGTAAATAATCTGGTAGTAAACGTATCGACTAGGGTCTGGAAGCTGAAGCAGGTAAGTTATCTTGCTATGTTTTTCGTGAGACAAACATCTGAGGCAGAGGGCATGCTCATAACTGACATCTGGTCTGTTTGACAAAGTACGTCAGAAAGGGCCTGTCCACTGTCGATGGCGACTGAAATATAACAATAGATTAGTAATCCAGAACTAATTGTTAAAAACATCATGATTATATTGTTGAACGTATTCAAATGAAGCCGTGGGCGATTATTTGACTTAAACGTAGCTTAACTATGTCATGTGATGTGTCACTACACTTTAAAAACAAATATTACTGGGATCACTACAGAAAACTGCAGACGACCATTCATTACTCAGGAATTCACATTATAGACGCCTTCGCTGGAACAATTTCCCCACAAATTCACACTTACACGTTCTAGACACATACTAGGTTTCGAACTAGTCCTGTTGACATACTATGCAAAAAACGCAGAGTACTCACATTACACACATTAGTTGTGATTATGAAATGTTTAAGTTTGACTTTAAAGCTTAACTGTATTAAGTAATTGTCCCTTAATGAGCACCAAGAGAAAAGAAGTACAGACTGGGCATGTTTATCCCCCTAGTGGACACTAGCGAGTACTGCAGACACAGCAGACACAATACTTCAGTCAGCTCCTCTCATAAAGCCTCTTTGTGTTTGTGTGTGACGCCTCACCACTGCATCTTATTTCTGCTTCTTCTTGTTGAGGTAGCTCTGATAATAGAAGTTACTGAAGAGGATGATGAGGGTGACGCAGTAACTAAACACCGACGCGTTCATGGAGTCGGGGAAGTCGCACTCTGTGAACAGGTTGTAGCCGGTGTGAAAGAGGAACAGCAGGAACTGCAGCTGGAAAGGCATTCAGGGAAAAGATTAGATCAGTTTACTTCACAAACATATTGTAAGAACAGTCACGGTTCTTCCTGTACAGAGCAGGAGCCCACTCACCAGCTGCAGAGAGGTGAGGTATCTCTTCCACCACAGGTACTTCTGCATGTGAGGGCCGATGGCAGCCAGGCCGTAGTAAGAATACATCACAATGTGAACGAAGGTGTTGACCAGGCCGATGAAAAACGCTGCAGGACGTGAACAGAAGAATTGTAAAAACAGAGCGGCATTAAGAAATGGGCTTTTTCAATGATTTATGTAAGTCAGTAAAACGTTTCAAATGATAATTCAAGTACTGATAGTGAATGATTAAATACAATAAGTATGAAATGAGGCAGAAGATAAACAGTAAAATGACACAAAAACAGTTATTTTGACAGTTTAGCTTTAGAGCATTTCAGTCACATTAAAGAGTGTAATTAAGCTCATTTTATTTGTGTTCATGATCTATGCAATAGACCAGATCACTAACACGATGGAGAATTAATGAACTTACTGAATGGCAGAGAAGTTACTTTGATCAGCGCCTTCGTTTTGTCCTTTTTTTTGTCAATTTTTACAACCAAAATAAGTTTGAGTCAGCTGTTTCGCTGCAGGAGTCACTTTTTTCAGTTTTATTTCAATTAGGACGTGTGCTTTGGTTTAAAGTTCATCATACAATCGTGCAAAAAACACCCGTCTCTCACTCGAGCTGTTTCTAATCCCTCACCCCATCCCTTCAGGAACATTTGCTAAAAACTAAAGTGCTTTTCCGTTTTTAATATATTACATAGCCTTATTCATTTTTCTTCAATGAAACTATGTATTTGTGATCCGTTTTTCAAAAATGACGTCTTCAGTTAGAATGAATGGTCTTTGGATTAAGTGCCACAGAACATTTACCGCAGCAGTCTATGAAATAAACTGCAATACCTACGTAGCAACATGTCACCCAGTGCAACAGCATTTACGTGTTTTGAATACATAAAACAGTGGAAGTCAATGGCCCGGAAAAATAAGATATAAAACAGACAAAACATTCTGTCATTTTGGTCTTCTCGTGGGGTTTGTGGACAATAAGAAATATACTGAACATCACCAGACTTCTCCTTTCTTCAACAATATCCTGCCACAAGGTCATGATATCATCATGACTAGGTTAGTTGACTTACACTGTCCACCGGCAACATACTTGATGCCCGCCCACCAGTTGAAGATCATGGTGCCGTGGTGGTAAACGTGAAGGAAGGTCAGCTGGCTGTTCTTCTTCCTCAGGATGAAGAAGATCTGGGGATAGATAGGAGAAGAGGAAGCTGCTACAGTTTCAACTCTGCATACTTTGAATTTCACCGATACTGCAAACATTTGACGCACCGTGTCAGCGAGCTCTATGACCTTGGAGAAGAAGAACCACCAGCAGGCTTTGGCCATCTGGAGGAAAGGAAACAACGTAGAAATGTGAGTTTTACATATTCACTCTGTCCATAGGTTGATTTTAATGTTAATTATGTTCCACATGTAGCTTGGGAAAGACGAACGTTCTGCACAAAACACATCAAAGACACCTGCTTACCCTCAATGACAGCGGGCTGGTGCTGTAATCTACAGGCTGACAGAGGAAGCTGTAGTTGGAGAGCCATGATGTGACCACGAACTGGTGAATATTCATACAATTACTTCATGAAAAAGTTAACCACCACCAACATAACGGCTTACATCATAAAACAGAAATTCCTGAGAGGAAACAGAAGCTACCGAGCTCATGATTGATCCGGTTCCTTTATAGAAAACAGAACAAACAGCAGCACAAACACACCTCATAGAACATGTGGGCCGACAGGCCGACCATGGCGAAGTTGTAAACAATGAGGAAGACTTTGAGGTCGAAGGGTTCTCTGTGTTTCATCAGACGAGGGCCGGCCCAGACCACACAGAGGTACACCAGGAAGATGAGTGCCACGGACACGGGGGAGTAGACCAGCAGCCATGGGTCCGTCCTCTTGTCTGGAACATTACAGAGCTTTGAGTCAGGGACCATTCACAAATGAATGAAACGTATTACAGGACACACCTAGAATTACAAGTTTCAAGGGCTGCCTTGTAGTGCCCACACTTTTATCACTATTTTTCTGTATGACTCTGCACAGGAAACGTCAGGTTTTGTCTTGTTGAAGTTCAGGAGGTCACGTGTGTGTGTGTGTGTGTGTGTGTGTGTGTG